ATGATTTTTTATCTACAAGTAAATTCCTATTTGGAAGGATTTCTGCTACTGGGGCTAGACTTAGTAAAATCCCCAAGCATTTGTTGGTGATGCGATTTTTAAGGAGTGATTTACTGAATTTCATTGTTGAAAAAAAAATGTTCGCATGGAAGGTACCACAGACCTAGACCCAAGAACAACAGCTCACTATGCAGGTGGTTGCAAGGTAAACGAAAGAATAGGAAGCGGGGGACACACTTTAGTGAGCTCACACTAACAGGTATATTCTGCACGTTACCGAAGATTTTGTAATCGGAAAATTTTATTACCAAAAAATGTTACCACTTCTTGTAATCGCGATTCTAGGTACGATGGTAATGCAGTTAAAATATGCAGCAATTCAGCGGGGCAACACTTTTTTAACAGCTTATGAGATGGTAACAAAATTTACCGGTTACAAGAGTACACAGAATGCGGAAAGGGAAATTGACAGGGGCTTTATTTACCGGTTAAAATTTGTTTTATTACCAACGCGGAATAAGCCGGCAAGACTCAGTTTTCGCTTACCGGACCACTGTGGCGTTTTTCATGCAGATTTAAACGCCATAATTGAGGCCGCTCGGCGGCTCACAGCTTACGTCTTTCTAGGACGAACTAAATATCTCAATATATTCTGATAGTCAAGCTGCTATTTACTATCTAAAATTCAACGGAACAACGTCCAAACTAGCCATAAAATGTATAATGATTTTCAGCCTGCTTGTGTAAAGGAGCGGTTGCACGCCACTGCATGCCTGCTGCAAACAATATTTAATTTAATTTATATCAAGTTCATCGTTAATTAACTTAGCCATCTCACTTCAATTTAATTGAGTTCAATTCAATCAATCAATACAATATAATTCTATTCAGTCCAAATCATTTAGTTTCGATTAGAATTCAATTCAGTTCTATTCGATTATTTCAAAAAAATTGTATTGAAGTCTTTTCTAAACATTTAATTTAACTAAAAATTTACAAAACAAAAAAAATTATTTCAACTCCACAGTTGTTTTTCTTGAATTAGTCATGGAAAAACAGTCTATTTTGAGGACTTTCATTTCTATTCGATATTAAGGGAGCTCGTCACTTTTAAATTATTGCCGAATTTCATGCGAATAGGTTTCAAGTGCCCAAATAGATATTTTTTCCCCGAGCATTACAACTTATGCTGAATTTCCACCGGTGCCACTACGTTTATAAAAGTAGTCATTGGATCTGTTTCCACATCGCATTGCATACATTTTTTGTAATTTAAATTCCTTGTGGAAATTCGGCATTATAAATATTAAAAAGTGAAGTAATCAAACATCTGTTTAAAGCAAAGTGTTTGTTGGCATTTGAGGAACCACTTTGCTATTGTAAAAAAATTGTTTTTGTAAAAATTTTCCAATATGCTATCAAAAGTAAAATAAACTTGATTTCAAAAGCGGTAATCGTATAATTCAGCAACTAATATTTGTTTTTATCTGGCGCTCTATTTTAGTGTTAAGCACTGTACACGGCATAGCAGACAGCCACGCAAAAAAAAATCCTTTTATGCAAAGCAGCAAAAGTGTAAACGCCGCAATCAACAAGCGTAAATGAAAAAAAAAAAAATTTCTTGATTTTATTTTTCGCAGTCTACTACAGAAGGACTATTTTGTACGTAGCGAAAATCACCTCAGAAAAGCTTCGAGCTAAGAAGTTATGGCCACACATTTTTATTCAGCTAATTTATTCCTTTGCAGTGCTTTTCTTTGGTTTTTGTGTGGCTGTGTGCGCCCTTTAAGTGCCGCTGTTAATTGCAACAACCACTTGGGAAATTTTTACATGCACACCAGCTGAAAGAATGAGGAGTTGAGGAGAAAGCAAAAAAAAGGATGCAAAACAAGTAAAAAAAAAATAAAACTGAAAGCTGGAAAGCGGCAAACATTTTAGTTTTCTAGCCCTTGACGTGGTTGCTCTGCATGCCATTTTGCAGAAAAGAAT